GCAGAGTCGCTGTGGGACCCTCATGGTTATAACATTACGGTGTGCCCCCTGCGATGGAGAGAAGGGAGTCGCACGCTGCCGCCACAATTAAAGTCGTACGGTAGTACATAATTACGCACCAAACGAGCCGCGTCGAAAGCACTTTCTGAAATGCTGGATACCAATATCATGTCAACCCTGAACCGCTTACTGTTCTAATCGACTACTTAAAAATAGTGCCTGGATAAAGATAATGCTGGGATTCTGGTGATATGCGAAAGTGGTCCTCTCGGACATGTCGTCGCGCAGGCGCGAGGCCATAACGTTTGAGCAGAAGCCAGAAATATGGTCGGGAGGTCGGGAAACTCAAGCCCTATTGGAGAGCCTCACCGCTTGTAGATTCCGTGCTCTGCAGCAGTGTGCGCTGCCGCTAAGGTTAAAGTCGTAGGGTTCCGCAGTGATTCTGCGTCCCAGCCTATTCAGAAATTGTTCCATTGTCCAAGTTCGAATTGTAGGCTTTAGGAAGTGCTCGTTTTGCCGTTGTCGCGCTCTCCAATGTGGATTTTCGTATTTAACATTGCGAATATGCCCAAGCGAATTTGCTAAAAATCGAATTTTTGCTCGGACACCGCCTTTAAAGGCAAAATTTCGGCAAAATTTCGCTTTTCAGTTTTTCCCTTTTCGGAGCGTTTTCGTCATGCAAATCTGAGCGTTTCAGAGCATGAAAATGGCTAAAATGTGCTTTTTTCGAAACTCTCCAAGTCCACATTCCCTTATATTAACGTGTAAGTGGGCGGAATTCGAAAGACTTCTGGAGAGGATTTTAAGCTCCGAATGCGCTTTTTCTCTCCAAACTTCAGTGACGGATTATTTGGGGAGGTCTATTATCGCAGCACTGTCTCAACGCCGATGACTTTGCCGGGACGCTGCTTTTGAGGTGCAATAACCTCAAATGGTCTAGGATTTACTATTCCCAGGACGGAGGACGACTTTCATCAGTCAGCCCCCTCCCTCGTAGTTTGCTTTATGAGTAAAATTGAGGAACCAGTATTATCCTACTGCTATATCGTTCATCGATGACTGCTGTGTCATCACGTTCACATACTTTGAATTGAACAAATGCTACAATACTCTAAACCAACAGGCTCAGCATATCAAGCATAGAGGAACTGCGAACAATGGGTGCTTTCCTTTTTGAACACCCGGACGCACCTACCTAATAGTGCCGTTTACATAAAATGGCATTAAAAGAAAAAAAAACCAAAGGATACAATTATACATGCCAACACTGAGCACAGAAGCAGCAAAACTGCTGTTTGCAACTTGTTCCAAATGTCATGAACGTATGCACGGGTGAACGAGAAGATCGAATCCAGACTATTAACTACTAGCTGGCATACCCGGCTCCGCCCGGCCTTGTCAAAACATTATGTTAAAGGTTGCGGTCCCTATTCCTGTACAAACCTTCCCCTGTGCCCTCTCCCACTTGCGAATTCTCTGAACGTATAGACATACATGCAGATATACATACAGACAAACGCATTCAACTTTATATATAAAATACAAATTGCACAGATGAATAGATATTGCGACATTTTACACACCATAACTCCTCGAAGTTTGCGAAGTCATCCACGCAATAGTAAGGTATTATGAATAGAGTTCAATTCTCGAGCATCAGCGTCTTATCGTCAATAATCAAACGATGGGTGGTGCGAGCACTTGCACAATGAATCTGTAGTGGTAAAGAAGCCAATGATGAAAAAGTTATACCACGTGAATGGCTTTTAGAAAACTGCACTGTTCCTCCCTCGCCAGAGTTATCGTTTGCCGTCGGTAGATATGACATAAAGGCTCCATCATGCTTAATTAGGCATATATTCCTTATTATCAAGTCAAATAACCCCCGTGGGCCAAGTTTTAGCAGATTCTGAGGGTCCCCGATATTGGGCCATTCAAGTGAAGTAGTCATTTTCACTATATCTCAAAAGTGAAGTAGCTAAATCTTTTTGTACTCAATACAGCACTACTCCCTATTTACCCATACCATATCCTACATCAAATAACCATTGAATCATGGAATTAGAAGCAGGCCAAAATCTCATTTGTCCCATTTTTCTCTTCTAATGGTTGCGCTTTCACCAGTTTTTACTCAGAGGGAAATAGATAATCAGGCCGAAAATCAACCCTCTGGAAAGTATAAGACTCAGGCTATCAAACTAAGTGCATTTTTTTCGCTGAAATTCTTTTCGGAGGTAAGTTAATGGGTGTGGCATAACCCCTAAAAAGTTGTGGCTGTCACAGCTTTTTAGGGGTTGTACCACACTCCATTAACTACCTTCAAAGCAATCAAATTTCTGGCTTTTTTTTATGTGGTTGCTTGCTAAACCTTCTTCTCCACATAGCAGGAATTTCATTTAAATAGTTTCTATTAGGAAAAGGTATAGTGGTACTTCCTCAACTATGCAAATGGAAAACATTGCGAAAATATTGGGTTGCGGTATGCTCAGTCTGCGCTACTACGTGAATCGCGAGGGAAGGCGGCGAGAACAAGTACATTCGATAGCCTGATCCTCGTAACTTTCACAGAAGTGATTTGAGCCTGATTGGTTTCTGAAGGCGAAAAAGGGGACATACGAGATTTTGGCTTGCTCTTAATTCCAGAGCTCGGAAGTTATCGTTGATTCGTTGATCGCACGGACTGCTCAAACGCTACGGACCACGCGCGGCGCGGTTAAAATGTTGCGAGAGCACGATTTTAACAATGGCGAGTTTGTATCGGAGCAAGCGTTTTACCTCGCGGCGCGTGCTCCGCGATTATGTCCAGTCCGTACAGTCAACGAATGAACGATAGTTGAAGTGGGATTCCTAATAAGCAAAGAAGTAGTAGCACTTTGTAATGAGTGCAAAATAAGTAGTTTATTTACTTTTGAGACAAAGTTAACGTTGTTCGAAATTGAACACCTCACTTGAGTGTCCCGATATCTGAAAACCTCAAAATTCGCTCAAACTTGGCCCACAGCGGTTATTTGACATGTTAATTACAAAATGATGCTCTTATGCCTGTAGGAGTCTTTTATTATGCTTCTGTACATGTACGGTAGGTCAAAACACCAGCTAGTACACACCCATTGTGCTAGTATCTTGCACAATGGGCCTGTAAGAAATTGTTGACTGGCATTGTTGCCAGCATCACTGTCAGCTCGATAAACCTAGCCCTCCCCTTCTTCTTGACCCCTCTGCGACCCCCCCCCCCTCCTAGTGCAGCACCCCACGCTTGACCCTGATAAGGGATTGCACAAAGGTATGGGGATGTATTATTTGAAGTGTTTGAGTTGTAGCGCAGTATTTTGAAGGAAAGGTCGAATGTTGACGGTGAGAATCAGCGAGCATTTTACGAATCAGAACGGGCGATTGCATTATTATCGTCAGAAGGACATAGAAAAGAAGGCTTACGGCAGCGACTTTGATGTAAAATGCACAATTCTATTTTACGAGGCAGAAATCGCAGTACGAAAAACTTGGAAGCCGCATGGACTTCCGTTTAATTCAAGCATGAATAAGACTAACGAATGTCAATCGATAGAGCTCGAATTCTTCTCGCCTTCCTGTTGATATGTTAGTTGCGTCCTGCGCATATATAGTAAAGAGCACTCTCATAGAGCAGCGCTAGTGTTTCTTTCCTTTGCGCGTCTACTAACGTTCTTCAGAACTGCGGTGTGTTACGTCCTGCACATATATAAAAGCACCCTCACTAAACAGCGCTCAGTATTTCTTTCTTTTGCCCGTCTACTAACGTTCTCCAGCACTGCGGTAGATCAAAGTTCAGTTTGTTCAACCACATATAACTCAGTAGTTACGCGCAGGACAAAATCGGTACACTCTGACGTTTGGAGATCGCGTTCGGCGATCTTGCTTCACAGATAGAAAACGCCATTTCAGACCGCGAAGAAGACGACTGTGTAACGTAAGGTCAAGCAAACGATCTCCTGAACAGGGATGGGGATATAAAGACACACAATAGAACCACAACTTTCTAGTAACTTCATCAAAAGATTCGAAGTACGGTTGTTAAGGAGTGCTTTCTTTATCGTGACGCACCTTAATTCCACTGTAATAAGCAGCAATCAATAATGTGCTGTATACTGTAATTCTGCGCTGAAGCCAGTGCTGCACAGTAACATCCATGTTTTGCAAAGGACTTCATGGAAAGAGTGTGAATGGTCGAACAGCATGTTTCCACTTTTGCGACACCCTATTCAAGATAATGAACAAAAAAAAAACAAAAAAAAGGTCAAAAAATACTTATAGAACTAACAGCGCAATTTCCGCTTAGCACGGCACTGAACCTGAAAGCAGGACTCACGAGCATCTGACTCAAAGATGTTTTCCTTTACTTCTCTTATGTGTTAAGCATGTCAATTATTCGTCTGTTTTATGTCTTTGATCTTGCACATTGTTAATGAATAATGCGTGCATAAATAAATAAATAAATAAAATTGCTGAATTTAGTGCGTTAGCTTACTGAGCAAGTCTCATTGAGAATATATAGTTGATTCGTTGACCGCACGGATTGGAGAACACTGCGGATCACGCGCCGCGAGGTGAAACGCTCGTCCCAGTACAAATTCGCTATTGTACAAGTCGTGCTCTCGCGACAACTCAGCCGCGCCGCGCGTCGCCCGCAGCGTTTTAGCAGTCAGGGCGGTCAACGAATCGACAATAGCTGAGAATTAGGAACTTATTGCAAAATTGGAGATTTGATGCTTTAGTAGAACAAAATACATATTTTTGTATCTTTCTTGAAAAAAGAATGCTGTGCGCCTACATAATTGTTTTTCATCTATAGGACTAACACTTGTAGTTTTCTTACTCACTTATTAATCTAACCTCGTGGCTTGTTACCATAAAAACTTGTATAACAGCGTAACAAAGTCTGTTTATAAGCAGAATGTACAGTTTTTTTTTATAAGTCTACCCAAAATCCCTTCTTTGCTTCCTTACATTCTTCCATCATTTTGTCATAGTCGCTTGGTTCCAGCAGAGCACTACGTATTTGACGTGATACTTCGTCAAAATATAGTTTATACCGTACTTGTCTGATCTTCTTTCCCTTATGCGTTATCTGCAAAGACGTTTTAGGCATGTGAGATTGGGAAAAGCAGCAACAGTACATACAGTAAGCTCCTTGAAGACATTGTGTATTTGGTACGGATACTTGATGTAGTACTTTTTGAGAGTCAGAGTATAGTCGTCGTGCTTCTGCAAAATAAATTTTCAACATAGACTTACATATTAGTATACAAGTTGCTATCATGAACAGATGTCTTTTTATCTACTTATGGAATCTGGAATGCTTAAAAACCTCACTTTACATATTTTCACCCACATAGTTACATTACAGGCCTGAATTGAAATGTTTTTCGCTTTCCCGTGTGTGTTTTTGAAATTTTTGTCTATATCATTACCCTCATCGCTTCTTTAGAATACTGTAGTCATTGGTAAACTATACTCTTGAAAAGGTCTTAGATTCTAAGGAACGTGAGAGCGATTCAAAACATTATTTGCTGTCGTCTCTCTATTTTGCATGAACATTCATTGCAAGCAGAAGGCCCTAGCGTAGGTAAATTTGTTAAATCGAGGTAAAATTTGTGTAATTTACGTGCTCCCTTTCCGTAGCGACTACGCATCCGCAGCGCGTGGGCATTGCGCAGCATCCGCAGCATCCCCGATTGCGGCGAATTTAAACGCTCAAGCGCCATGCCCGCGTACGCGACACGGAGCTCTAGCTTTGAGCTGATCGAAAAGGGAGCACATCGTTGACACGGACTGTAAGTAATTCAAACACTGAATCTTGACTCACACTAGTCAGGTCGAAAGACTCCATATTTGCGCTATTACTATTTTTTGATGCCGATTCAATCTCCTTCAAAGCCATGAAATGGCTGGTGGCAAACTTATCCCCTTTATTGTAAACTGCTGTAAATGATTGCTCGACCGATCTGACGCATCGAACGCTCATCGTGGTTACCGGAACAAGAAGAGACATGAACAAAATGATCATTCTGAAATTATTTCCGATTAGAAAAAAATTAGAATGAAAGCAGAAATCTATCTGACAAATGATTTCAAAGCCTTTTAAGCTGCATATCAAAGCAATCGTGACGCATGAATTTACTAGAATTCAGATGAAGCATTATTTTTTACGCCACAGCGTTTCTCTTGCTACGCTCGAAAGTAAATACTACGCAATGATTGTTCAGAATAAATTTTACGTTGCATAAATGCTTTCAATTAATCAATCCTAATTGGCGGAGATGAATGAAAAAAGAAAATATTGCCAGAAAAAACCGTCAACTCCATATGCTAATATTGGTGCAAACATCCATTGTAAGTACTATCAAAAGTATTCTTTGCACTAATGTAGATAAGTAAAAACCTGGCAAGCTCTCTTTTTCTCTCCCCCTTCCCCTAAATGAGTAGCGAAAGCAGTCAAAAGCTCGCGTAAATGACGGTCAAATAATTCATTGTTTTCAACAAGCGCATTGTCCGTGCTTTTGTGCAGGATAATAATAATATCAGATTGTCCCAAAAGTAAAACGTATTTCTAAATAAATCAAAATTTTTTTGTTTTCCTGGCAGACTTGGGGTACCATTCGATAAAGCGGAAGAAGCTCTACAAAACGAAGGCGAAAGATTCGCCTACGTAGTAGTGAGATAAAGTTTGGAGCAAAAATCGAAAAAAATTTCTTACCTAAAAATTGAATTTTTGCGAAGAGTAATCGTAAAGGGCTCAAACTTGGTTATTATACGTAGACACATAGTAGTACCCAAATATGCCTATACTGGTTTTTTTCCAGATTAAGCGAAAAAAAGACATGGTCTGAAAATAGCAAACTCCGCCCCCAGCCCCTCCCACACATGTCACTGTATACTACAAGCCCTTCTGAATATAATCTTGAAACTCCACTCTTGTATGTGCTCTTATAGTCGAGAAATACCAAGTTTTACATGAAAAATCCGAAAAAAGTGGCATTTTGGCATTTTGGGACATCATTGCTTTTCATTTTCGAGCTCCCGAAAAAACCAACCAAAAACATTTTTCGGTACTACTATGTTTCTACTATATAAAAAAAAATCGGAAGTCCGTAGGGAATTTTCTGGAAGGAGATCTTGATTTTTGGATTCAAATTTTACCTGGATCGCGACATAGACGGTTCTTCGGTGGTTATTTTGTAGAGCTTGCTCGCCTATCGAATGGTACCCCAATTCGGTCATGAAAACAAATGTAATTTGATTTATTCATAAATACGGTTTACTTCTGAGACAACCTATAATATTAGGTTGACTAATAAATGATTTGGTTTGACCTGCAGATCCAGGGCTCTATGGCAATTTGAGTAACAGCTATTAAGCTAATTGAGATTTGCTCTGTAAGGTGGTGGCTGCAAGCCACTACTCTCACGTATTAAACTTTCAAAATTCGTCATCAGTAAATGACAGAGTCATGCCCTTCTACGGCTAGCCTCCTAGGAAATCACTTCTTGAACTTCTAATTTCCAATCCCAGCCTTTAGTGAGCACAAAAATGAGCAAATTGGTAACCAAATACACAATCTTCGGCTACATGGCGAACTACAGTAGATGCGATTTACTGTCTTTGAATTTTTGTAGGTATTTTCGAGGTACTTGCTCAGGCAATCCAGATGGCTTGAATTTCACCACCAATGACTGTGCAAATGAGAAACTTGAAGATAGGTTGTAGCGTACAAAATAACAAACAACAGTAATATCCAGTTTCTGTTCGGTTTTTGAAGCATGTTTGGTAGGAAATTTGATGCAAAAGCCTAACTAGTTTCCTGCACCATTTCTATGTACGAAAAAAATTTATTTTCAAGAAGGAAGTTTTATAGCCAATTGATTCGCTCTTTTTAAGGTACCATAATCTATACATAAACTAGTGTGTATGTCTGCAAATTGAAAACGATCAAACTTTTCTCAGCCAACCTAATAATATAGGTGTACGAGAGGGGGGGGGGAGTAGAGAAATAAATCCTTCCAGGAAGAGTAGCAGCACGGCTAAACAAAATCATAGCTAAATGAGTCATTACCACGCCTTTGCTTCTGTCGCAGAAATTTTTTTATGAATATTCCACAGGCTTGCGAGTGGAATAATGTGCACAATGGCATTGATGTAAGCATTTGCGCAGTTGGTACTAATGTGATTGCTACAAAATTCGACTAGGTACCTAAACATTGCAGTTTTCCGAATGGTATGTAGTAAATTCCCGAATTCCATTGTCTGACTATACTTAAGGTCTGAACAGCGAATTAATTGTAAGCAGCTAGGGCATCCTAGATCCGATTCAAATGACACATATATTGGGTCCGTCGTGACCGTAAAGCCGGACGATGCCGATCCTAAAAACAAAGATCGTACATCAATCACCATACATGTAAAAGCGAGTGCAGAGAGAATGCCCAAAAGGAAAGAGCTAAAGGGAGGAGATGGAACGGCCGGAAAGTTTGAGCAGTAGACATGATGCGAAATCCTGAAGATGGTAGGTGCTGCACAATTTATACAGTACCCCATCTTTGAGTCTATATGCTGCACTTTGATTGTTCTAGTTTCATATGCGTGTACATCTTCACTGGTAGAGGAAGAAAGTTATAAAGAGCAGTCTTGTATCAGGTTGAACCGAGAGTTCGTTCGCACCAATCAAAAAATCGTAATTTTTCATAATTTGTTCTGTAAACGTTCTCGATGATTGCTATAAACACTTGACAAAAGTAAACCTTGTACAGTCGAGTTGATTTTTCGCTTAGTATAGTGTGCTTGAGGTGTTAAGGTGAGATGCGGTAAAATTTGCGCGTAAAGAAATAGCTACGCCTGTGACGCCGGCATTTACACGCGCAAAATGTTGACATTACTGGCGTGGCTACTTGTTCACGCGCAATTTACCGCATTTCACCTTCAATGCAAGCACACTATATTGAACAGAAAATCTACTCGACTTGCACTTTCTGAAAGTACCTCAAACGAAACTTCAGTTTGAGTTCTGATTGCAGAGATACTAAAAGTAGGAGGCCAGAGCACTGATTGCTGCCGCGCTATCCGGCGACGGTTACTGTACTTTCTCACGCGTGCCGCAATCGCCTCCAGAACTCTCCTAGCCTTGGCGCATTGCCAGCAAAACGGCTATATACAGCGGCGGCGCCTTATTGCAGCGTTTATCTGCTTTCGTTTTTGTCGGTAATCTTTTCTGTTTTCCAATGCTCTCGTGCCTGGCAGTTTAGCTCCCGCCCTTGATGTTACTTTTGTAGCGGTCGAGCATATCGGAATGCATAGTGCTTTGAAATTCAAGTCGCATTTAGGATCATTTTCGGACGTTTCACTTTTGGGACTTTTGGGCCTAATAAGATCTTGTGAACTATGGGAGCGAAGAGGCTGTCGGGCCTGTTATAGTCGGCGACGCGCGGCGGATCTGTATAGGTGGAGCCCCAGGAACATTATTAGAGGTTCTGAAAGACCGCTTCATCGGTAGCACGAGACGGGGCAGCTCGTCCCGTGTTGAGCTGTACAATTGTTCAGTAGTTTTGCTTTAGGGAACGGCCATAGGTTGTCGGTGTTGTCGATGTCATCGGTGTTGTCGGTGTTGCCGATGTTGTCGGTGTTGTCGGTGTTGGGTTGCCGAGGTTGCCGATCATTATAGGACCTCATGATAACCTCCACGTTTCGCGCGCTCTCTAAACTGCCCTGACCCCGACAACTCCGACAACACCGACAACACCGACAACACCGACAACACCGACAACATCGACAACACCGACAACACCGACAACATCGACAACACCGACAACCTATGGCCGTTCCCTTAGTAGTTCAGTCGTCCAGTTATGACTTTTTATGTAGTTTTCTATTGTTTTTTTGATGTCGGACATAAACTTAATATTCAATCTTTTGTCCAAACGCGCGCTAGTGAAGATGGTAGGGAGCTTGCGTCGTATGTTTCGAGCATTGGTTACTCTGGTTAAATCTAGGTGCTTAGAGCCCACCGCGCCGCTACATGGTAATTTTACGCAACCCTTCTAAAAATTTAAGAACCATGCATTACAATTCATAATAGTAGGTATTATAGTCTTAGGATCTCTTTTGATTGTACTAAGTTGCTGACCGAGCTTCTCCACGAAAAGTCATCATTTCGAGCGAAGTGCAAGAAAGGCGAAATTGACTTTCTGCATGTGTCGAAATCATAGCCTTGCATAGAAAAGCTCGATTAGCACGAACTTTGCAGGTACAACTTCGTAAAAAATGTATCCGTGGATGGACACTAGAGCTGCGAAGATAGCCAGCTACAAATGCGGAACGCATTTGACTAGCGAGGTCTGAAGGTCGCATTCACAGTTCTTCCTCTTCTCCGGCCTCAGACACTCGCACCGGCCGGCGACCGTTCGACGACGGCCTTCCGGCCGGCGGCCGTTCCATTATTTGGGGCGGGGCCAAATGCCGGCTGGCGACCGTTCGAGTAAAAATGCCGGCCGGCGGCCGTTCCAGTGTGCAAAAGTGCGGCGAGTGCACCAAATTGCGCCTACCGTGGTCGAAAACAATGGATTTCGACATCCTGACCGTTTGCCAAAGAGGCTATGTTCGGATTTCAACATTCTATCATGGCCAATGTAGTGAAATCAGCTTTCTCACACAAGTCGTATCACTCCCCAATTCCATCCATCTTGTTTGCCGTTTCGTATCGTTTTTTAGTGTAGAATGGCATGAATCATAGAATTAGTTATGCTTATTTTTCAGATTCATCCGAAAATGTCTGGTGCGCGAGGCCTCAGAAGAGGAGTTGGAGTATATGGAAGTGAGTTTTGTTATAGATTCTTGTGGTGGAACAAATTTTCGCGAAATACATGTTCTTTCCAGGAGCTTTCGAAGAAAGGATGCGCCAGCGGCAGCTGGACGTCGAACATACGCGACGTCTTCGGGAAATAGCTGCCCAAGGAGGTATGTAACTTCGCTTAAGTGGCTATGTTTAACAACATTAAAGTGGCATGGGTATTTATGGTTTTTATTAACATATTGTACTTCCAGGATCGGTCGATGTCGAAATCGTTGGAGAACCACGAGAGCCGGAGACTTCGTCGGCAGCTGCAGGTGGGTTTTGTTGTCATTTTAAAACAGCATTTTCCACGTTCTTTCTCTGTGGTCCACTATCGATCAGAGTTATTCTTTCTGCTGCCTTTTTTCGAAGTCCCTCAGGTCAAATAACTCTGCTTGTGGTGGACTCATTCCAAATCAGTCTTCTTCCTTGAATTTTCTTCTTTTACTCATTTAACTTCTGGAATTCGAAATGAAGGGCCTTTTGCATTCTCCGCCCTGTCATCCTACTTTGTCTGTCTTCCTCTCACTTGCTTTATTTTTCTTGAATTGCTTTAGCAGACTGGCTTTGCATTAAAAACTATCGTCATCTACTACCCTTTCTCAACACCATGCTTTGCTTATTTACTGTTAATGCAAAGCCAGTAGCAGAAGCAGTTCATTAAGTTCATCAAAGTGAGCGAACGCTCAAGTTCAAGAAGGAAACATGTCTGAACCTGCCATACTTCGCCCAAAAGCGCAGGGACGCCGAAAACCGCCAGAACGCCACTTTTAGCTGTAGAGCGTTAGTTTTTGAGATATGTCCCGATACTAGAAAGTTACATGATGTTATCGTCACGACTTTTGATCTGTGTTTCCAAGGAGCAACGAATCCTTAAGGTATTGAAAGTCAATTGTACTGTTGACCGTTTTTTTTTCGAAGAGGTGCCTCGCGAAGGGACGTTGTGGCACTTTTGGGCGCTTTGAACGAAGTATGACAGGCCCCTTATTATGGCTTGGCCTCGACGCTATTCCACTAGCACAACAAAAAAATGCAAGATCTCAGTTGTGGTGGTCCAAATCGCATAGGGTAGGGGTACTTGCGTGCTGTACAGGTGAATAATGATCTTTCGCATAGTAGTTTTTCCAAGGTTACGGTGCATACGGTATGAGAAATCTCGGAGTCTGCTGTAATGTTGCCTAGGGGTTGGACGTTAGGCAGGAAGCAGCAAAGCTAACCGCCCTTTGCTATGGGGAATCCCTGAAAATGAAAATTCCTCGCATTTGAATATATTCGCACTATTCGTTTACTTTACGAGCAAGAAAACTGAAAAGAAATGCTCTTGAAGAGTAGGTCACTCTGGACCAAGTTGGAAATTTTGCGTCTTTCAAATCTCAGCTATAAGGTATCAACTTAAATAAACCTTGGGTTCGAGGCAGTTTTCTTCGAAATTAGTGAAATAGAAGGGAGTAATTCTGCCGCAAGAGCAAGATAGACCAGTCCCACAGAGCAGGTTATTCTTCGGAATCAATCTAGAAATCGATCTCCTTATACCGTTTTTGATGTCGAATGAGATTGATTTCTATGAGCTTTTTAGCTCACGTCTCATCTGTTCTGAGAAACATGAAACCTGTATCTCGCAATTTATCACGCTCGGAAAGTTTACGAACAATTAAGCATAAATCATATTCAATAATCAGAGGCGCGCCGAAGTTTGAAGCACTCGTATTTCCATAACCAGAAACGGAAAGCCTTTGCTGCCCTCTGCGCGACTGCCGGACTATTTCACATGCTTGCTGTATACAGTATTAAGGGTCGCATATTTACTTAGGTAGTTCCTATGCGATTGTTCACGCGAGTCCGTTAAATTGTAGGCAAGCCTGTGACTTTGACCCCCGCGTGTAAACCTTTTGTAACAGCGTCTGTGAATTTAGGCGGACCGCGGTACTTGTGAGTGTTTCAATCGAATTCCATAAACTAAATTCTGGTGGTCTGCGATACGATTTCTTACCAAACACCTACCGTAACATCGTCGAAAAGGTCTAGAACGCTCAATTGGTATGTGCTGGTAGCGTGTCAGTAACCGCTGTATGCCAAATTTTAGTCAAATGGATTCCAACCCTTTATCGACTGCCTGCAAACGCTGAAAGAGTATATTATACTATTTATGATCAGCATGTCGAATTACTCCCGTTCTTCCTTCCCTAGGCAATGTCAAACTGCAGATTTTGACTCCATACCATCTGCTAACTCCTCAATAAATGCCCTACATGCATATCATTGTCTTGATATCATTATTGTTCACTTAACTCTGAGGTTTGCATCTTTGACTTGTGGGTGGAATAGTATCATTGCCCTTTACTCCCATAAGGGGAGCAAAGTGTCATGGTTCATTGGATAATTCCAAATGACAAGACAGAACATGATAGAAGATTTTGACATAGATTTCGGATCACTTAGCTCACACCAAAAATGTACAAAAGAAAACCAGTTGCTTGCAAGTGATGTAGGACATATGTGCCACATCAGCTGGATGTTACAAGTTGCTGTCCATTTTTATGGATGTCTCTAACAATTGAAGGATACTTGGTCGAAGTGCGTTTTCATATGGAACGTACACTTTCTTATAGAGCGTGAAATGCTGATTCCAAATCTGTTTTTGGTATCTGCAAGGTGCTTCCAGTCAAAAATCTAAGAGCGTCGCTACTATAAAATTGTTCAGAACTGTAGTTTGTGACTTCAAATTGAGCCTAATTACTGCCAAGGCGCTTCATGCAGTTGCTACGTTCAGTCCAATAACCCCATGCTATCACCACTTCCAACCGCACGAAAGACCTCAATACCTCGTTTTGCCTTAGCCCACCCTTGAATTTTTTACTCCAGAGAATTCCCATGAATCTTCTACCGAGAGCGCTTTGCAGTTAGCGAAAGCAGATTTGGAATCAGCGTTTCATGCTCTATAAGACCGTGTACATTTCATATGGAAGCGCCACTTCGACCAAGTGTCCTTCCCTTGTAAGTGTTTCCGTTTTCCTTTCAACCGTAAATTTGAACAGCAGGAAAAAATGTAAAAAAGGCTCAAAAAGCAGTTTTGCATGTATGAGTTCTACATGAGGTATATTGATATGGTTCCATTCTTCTTCAAGACTCCATTTATCAGATGTTTAGCGCTTGATTAATCCTACCAAATGTCTCAAATTCAACGTTCCTGAAACAAAAACGAACAACGAATAAACAGCAATAAGCAGAAATTCAATTTCTAAAATCAAAATTGCCAAATGCGAGTTTGGGCTTTTAAGAAGAACCGGGCATGGTGCCCCGCGATCCTTTGCTGGAAGGCTTCTCAGGAGAGCCCTCATCTTCTGGCTACATGGGTCCTCGATCTACATCTCAACTTTGTAAGCATATCAGTTAGTCGAGTAAATGCGCATTATTATAGTCTAGTTTAGCTACTGAGGAAAAAATCTTGTACTACGCCATCTTCGTTCTCCACTTCGGACTCTCAAGCGAGCTAATCCGGCGAATGGAGGAGTTGATGACAGTACTCTATGGGACCATACCACCCATCAATGTATTTAGTTGTATTATGTGCGCATGTTATCGAAAAGTACCCACAGAATTTAGTATTTTGGACATGTTCGCGAACTGAATAGGGAGCTTTTGAGCGAATTCAATCGAAAGCGCTATTTCTTCTGCACGTCTTGCGGCAGTCGCTTGAGCGAATGGAGGGAGCTCTGCGAGAATGTCGGGTGTGCGCTCTATCGGTGGGGTTGATGATACGGAAGTTTCGAAGTAATGTCAGCATTTTTTCACCTCAGTGTAAGCATCAAAAGAGCTAGAGCAGTGCAAAGGACCGAGATTCATGTGCTCGATGTCATTCCACAGTTATCCGATATCATATCGGTTCATATTGAGCATATAATCGGATTCCATCGCGAGTTGCACGAAGTTGGGGTCAGTATCTTACTTTAGAGCTCCATATCAAGTTTTATCCATCTCAATCACCGAATTAGGTTGTCGCAGCTGATAGAAGTGACCCACGGCATTTTGATGGCTATCGTGAAGCCATAGAGAGTGCCGAAGAATTTGCTGCAAATCGACTACGCATACTTTTGACGATCTCAGTAGACGGCTTTGTTCCTAGGCGCTTGTCACGGTATCGTTTTGAACGTTTTTCTGAAGACAGAGGATCTTAATTTCGTACAACTCTTAGCCGCGAAGTTTGGCCGCTCTATCTTCGCATTGAGAATTTGCCCAGATCGGAAGCTAACGACTATTTCAACTCTCTGCTTGCGGGCGCACTATACTCACCAGCTAAGCCTACCGAAACAATGATGGAGACTTTATTCAGCAGGTGAATCGCTTCACCTTTACTTCGGAAAGTTGATGAGACACATCTAGATTGGAAGCAGAATTGAACACATTACGTGAGACCCCTATCGTTGTCGACCTAGATGGAGTAATGTGGACCGTAGAAGTTTGCCTGTATCGTGGAGTCGCTGATATGGCCGTGAGACTTTGTCAGATGCAAATGCAGAAATATGGAGTTTTACGATGTAGGCGCAGAAAATTATGTATGGAGTGCCTGCGTGGAATCGTGACTTCGGCTGCTCGAAATGCACAGTAAAGGGAATGGTAGAAAGAAGACAGCGTATGTGGTTAGCTGAACGAGACGAGATCGTCTCGCTTCGGACCCCGGAATCGTACGCAGAAGATGCTCAAAATTTTGGGCAGTTTGGCATCATGCGTGCGTTGTTTCTTTATTGCAACATTTTCACGAATTCTCAGGGGGGGTGCAAAACTTTCAGAAATGACCCCTGTTATGAGGCTTATGCTTCCAAGTGCTTTCTCCTCAGATTCGCTTCACGTATGCTCTGAGGGAGTCACGAGGGATAGGATTAGAGGTTGTTTTTTGGCCGCTTTCTACAATTGTAATTATTTTGCATAGATATGTTTGGTGGCCCGAAGTCTAAATTCGCGGAATTGCGCGTCGATCATCATAATACCGAACTTATCAAATCGTGTCTAAGAAAGTTATCCAGCCATACGTATGCCAACTCGTTGATCTTATCCCTGGAAGACCTGAAGACTTGCACAGCAACGGAGTTGGACGAGGTTTTCTTCAGATAACTCTTTGCCAAGTGCCATAATTTGCGTTTATAGTTAGCTTTCGTCACTTTCCCGTTAGTTGCTGCCACGGGAATGATTGCATCTCCCGTCGCAGCTGCTTCGCTACTTGGCTATTGGTTCTGCTTGAGAACCATGGCTCATTCCAAATCAATGACCCTCGATGTCATCAGAGAAGCTCAGTCTATGGCAACTTGTGTCAAGCAGATATGGGCAGAATTGGCACCGGAGGTTTTCACCATGAAATGCCACGTTAGTGCCATGAGCACGAGATTGTGACTTGGCATTTCTATGTTTAGTGGTTCTTTGAGCACGGGATGGCGCACGAACTAGATGTTTATGGCTCGATGTACCAATGGTCTTCGGCCCCTTTCGAAAGCTTGCACCGTAGGTTGCAACTCCGTATCGACCAGTCCACGACGAATAGTTCTATAGAGATGATCGAAAGGTGGTTTTTGTGAGTTAATTTGTGAATGCATTCGCAATAGTTTAGGTACATTTTGTCAAAAAGAGTGAGAAACCTGTTTTATAACTGTTGCGAGGATGGCAACACTACCATGCTCGCCCTTAAGTCTAAGATTGAGAACAAACACAAGCGAAGGTGAGTGATCTGAGCCCATATAGTTTCGCAGCTTACTTTTGAGGTTCCCCTTGGCCATACGAATCAATGATTCCACATACATCCCCAAGGGGAGTAGAATCGCGCCTGGTCTTTTGTCGGAAAATCATAAAGCACGGATTACGGTTTTTCGTGAGGAAGCCTAGTAGGTGGTGAATCTTCTTGAATAGTATGGTCCACATTTCTCACAAGTTCCAGCTCAAGAGTGGTTATCTCTGGTAAGATATACTCGTCCCGTCTGTACTGGAATAGAGCACGGAGTACCCGCCAAGATGTGGTCTATCTTTGCGGACGCGACGGAGACGAAGAGCTTGACCATTTTGCTTCCATACTCATGTTCCTCTATAACCGCCGCAATAAATCGATCAAAGTCCTCGTTGAGGAGTTTGTTAGTACTGACCCCTTTGAACATCTGGGTAACTTAGTGAACCATACGCCTCATCCTTGTCGGCGGACAGGTTTACAGATTATGAGATCCATTAGTGCAAACAATAATTTCTTCAAAGAGTTAACCGGACAGCGAATCAGAGTAAGACCGGTAGAACTCATAAATGGACCAGCTACTTTTGCAGAAATAGCTAGTAGGTCTTACGCTTCTCGGTTTTAGTGGCGCGCAATACTGTGGGTACTTTTCTCAAAGGATGTATCTCAAGTGTTTAATTTTGATCTCATCTTTTATCGTAGTTGATGTATAATGAATGAAGATTCTTGTAAATATTGAGCTTTGAAATGCGGTAGTTTGACCGTTACATCTTTACAGCCATCGCTCCTTTCTAGCTGAAAGCGGCGTTGCAAGGTTTCCTCTTTGAAATCTTTATGGGTGTTGCTATCGAACGATTGTGGACTAAAACTTGCAGATTGAAAATTTGCATTTTTGGAGCGCCCAAAAGCCCCTCGAAACCGATTTTGCCCCTCAATTTAAGTACTGCACGAAATTTCAAAAGCTATGCAATGAGACGCTCATGAACAGATTCCAAAGTCGAATTGCCTGAACGCAGCTTGTCCACATAGTTTTGAGCTAATCCCTAATTCCAGCTAGTCATGTACAATAGAAACCAAAATCGAACACCTTCATCCACATCCCGCCCCAGAGTTTTTACTCCAAGTACCAGCCGAACAGCATACTCGAGTACGTCAAGGGCTAGTCAGCCTTTGCGGGATCGGTCTGTACCTTTGGCGATTAAGCTTGGCAGTGAAAAAGCTTTTCCATTGCAGAACTACTCCGAGATCTTCCGAAAATGTCGTCCCGGGAGAGTATGTGCCGATTGAAAGGCAAGAAGAGGTTCCCACGGGTGCGTTTAAGTTCAAAGGCAGCGGCTCGGCAGAATGACAACTTTGGAATATTCATTGTTCTGGGTTCCCCTGGACGAGCTAAGTCCAACACTGTGCTTTTCAGCTTCAAAAGATATCAAAGACCCGCTGTTCCGGACGTGAAAAGTGCTACTTGGGCTATCCTGCTCTCTAGAGCGCGATTGATTTGTGAGTGGAGACACTGTACCTACCGTACACAAGAGCCAGTCGCGCTCGAGGGCAGGCATACGCCGTCCGCCCAAAAGCACTTTTCACTTCTGGAAAAGCGGGTTGATATATTTTGAAGCTGAACACAGTGTTGGACTTAGCTCATCCAGGGGAACCCAGGACGGTGAATACCCCAAAGTCGTCATTCTGCCGAGCCGCTGTTTAAGTTCGCGCGATAGGAGCCATTTCATCTCGTTCTATATAGGAAACATTTACCACCGGCCCGAGTACGGTTTTGAAACGCCACGAGCGACAGCGACAGGAGCTCAGAGAGTGAGCTCTTTGTTTTCCTGCATTGCTAACGGCGTCATCATGTTGAAACCAGCTGCGGAGCTCATTCACCGCCAAAAACGGCAAAATCAATTCAATAAGACTGTGTACGAAGTGAGGCTTCTGATGTGCTCCCTTTTTGCCGTTGGCCAAAGAATTGCAGGAGTTTGTTAACTCGGAAACTACAGCTCATACAGTGGGCTTCTGTTTTGCTGGTTTGAGCGGAGCATCAGGAATCGATTTGGAATTGAGGCTTATAGCACTCCAGCTCCAGGTACGCGCCATCCTCCATCTCCTCATAAGCTCATGAACTCAGGGGGATATTTCTGCTGCAAAACTGGACAAGCTTACACGCCGAATGGATTTGATTGGAACTAGTCAGGAACCGCTAAAAGGAACTGTAGAAAGTCGTACGACTTGGAAGCTCCCCCACCGTTCGCTAGGGTGGGTGTATCATGACAGCTTGCGAGTACTAAACAATTTTACTCAGGTGTCGCTCAATGACTTAGTGTTGGATTACAACTTCAACCCGAACGACAATAGAACTGCCTTCCAGAAGTTCGCTTCGCTTTATCGTGTGCTATTTCAGAGGGTCAGCCCTATGATTTTTGCTTTAAATCCTTCTATTCATGTTCTTCATTTAGATTACCGATCCGCCTTACCGAATCCAGGAGTATTCTGTGCGATACAACGCTAAGGGAGGTCGCGACAAAAATCTCAAGGATCTCCCTCGCTCCATAGAGATTTTGATGATGGGTAAGAAGTTTCACATTCCTCAAGCCCAGGCATATCAGTTAGTTCCAGACTTCGTTGAAGACCTAATCGGCTACGGGACAGAGGAAGCTAGGACCGGCGAATTAGCTCAGGAGCGGCAATTCTATAGAGGAGCAATGTTTAGGGCTCTACAAGTGGCACTGTAAGACGTTTGTGCCGATGTTTTACAGACTCTCATAGATTACATTTCAGGCGCGATGTAAGACAGAGCCGTTACGACTACAATGAAGAGCGGTTCGTTCCAAGCAGTGTGAGTTTTCATTCATTTACCATTAATTTTGCTGGATATAAATATGCATTTTCAGCGAAAAGGCAAAAGAGTGCGCGTCTCAGACACATCAGCTGGAGCTGCATCGGGAGACGAGAGACGAGAAGCTGCGGGAGACGAGAACGTCTCGCCATGAGACCACAACGAACAATGCAGGAAGGAGTACGCCCAGAGCTGGGATGGCTGTGTAACCACCTTAACCCTGTAACCACTCACCTTTATCAGTATGTCTTGTACTTAGACTTTTTTTTGTCGTCTTTGCCTTTTTTCTTCTTGTGCAGGCGTTTTTGGACTTAGTCGGATGTATAGAAACTGGATTCATTTTCTTATTGTGATTCTTTTGCGTTGCACGCACGGACACCGAAAAAAACGCTTAAAACGATCAAAAAGCTCATTGCGTATTGGGTTGAACCGAGACTTCGTTCGCAGCATTTCAAAAAACCGTAACTTTTTTGTCTTACGATAATATCACTAGACAAAAACAGTAGTAGAAAGAGCAAAACATATGCTTTCTAATGGCACCTTGCTTGTCTTTTACTAAGCCTTGATTGTAGAGATGAAATTGCAAAAAATCGATTCAATTTTGGTATTTTGAGGGAAGCCCGGTAGAAATTCCAAAAATGTGCCTTAAAATCCGGGATAGAATTGGCAATTTTTGGCGTTTCTTGAGAAAAAATGCCAAAAAATTACCCTTAAGCTTGATTTTTGACATTCTTTCCAAGAAATATTAACTTTCTTCAGAGGGCTCGATTAGCGCGAATTTTGCTCAGGTTGAAAAGAGGTGATCAAAAAACCTAGGATACTGCCTGTTTTGGATTTTATGGCACATTTTCGGAATTTCTAGCGCGCTTGCCACAAAATACCGAAATTGAATCGATTTCCTTTTCGTAATTTTACCTCTGCAATCAAGGCTAAGTAAAAGGCAAGCAAGGTGCCATTAGAAAGCATACGTTTTGCTCTTCCTAATACTATTTTTGTCTACTGAGATTATCGTAAGACAAAAAGTTACGGCTTTTTGGAATGGTGCGAACGAACTTTCGATTCAACCTAATATTTCTGCGAACCAAATCGCTTGAATCTGATTCTTCGATCGATTCCATCATGGATCCTCACTTTATCCAGGGCATATTTATCTCGTATGTGATGTGCATTTTTTTTCTTCTGTGACCATCCCCCATTGCATTCCACATTTCTGTCATTTTTGTATTACCTTTACTATGCATTCTGAAGAAAGTGCAATTTTTTCTCGCTTGCCGGTGCTGTTTGCTTCTATATGCATCATGTGCTCGTTTTCTTATAATGTGTATGGTATTTGTTATTATGCATTATATATGTTAATAAAATTTAGTGTAGATCTCACATTGTCAATAGAGTATTGAAGAAAAAGCGACTAAGAGAATATGTGTTGGTTTTTGAAGAGCAATAGTGGGCTCTTGTGAAGGCTGCATTATAGCGCGCTCCATTGCTAATTCATGGCGCTTCCACGATGTACCGGCTGGCGGCCGTTCGGATTCCGGCTGGTGGCCGTTCGAGTACCGGCCCGTCGCCGTTCCAGTACCGGCCGGTCGCCGTTCGAGTACCGGCCGGTCGCCGTTCGAGTACCGGCTGGCGGCCGGCTGGCGATCGTCCCGGCCGAAATGTCGGTGACGGACCGGCCGGTCGTGGAACGGCCGCCGGCCGGTGCGAGTGTCTGAGGCGGTGTTGTAAGCGCATATGGACCTGAAAACACACGCCATGAAATTCCGCATGAGACTCTACATAAGAACCCCGCGCAAGAAGTGTAGGGTAAAAATTTTGTTTATGTACACTCGTAAAAATAGATGCTCTATAATCAGAGTTGAGCAAGAGGTTAGGCACAAGTCTTTCCAAAACGCTCCCCCCCCCCCTCCCCTCCCTTCCACGAAGGCTTTCAAACGGCCCCTTCTTCCTCCTCTTGAACTCCGGAACCTTAGGCCCGTATGCACTAACATTTTTGCGGCGAGGGGAGCGGCGTCCCCAATGATGAAGGGGCCGCGTGCGGACGCCGCTGCGGCTTTTTCATCATTGGGGACGCCGCTCCCCTCGCCGCAGGGATGTTACTGCATGCGGCCCTTAGAGTGAGACATTCTAGAGAATTTTCAGATTTTTGAGAACTGTACGTCTAATTCTTCTGTGACTGCACTTTACCATACGTAATTTGACGACTGATTTTGATTCCGATTGGGCTTGTTGAAAAGGCCATAGCTTTTCTAGGGGTGATGCGTTCGGCTCCAAATTTCCACTGTAGCAGGAAAAGCTATGAGCTCAACTCTCAAAACAGTAACGGGGAGATTTCTTGATTTTCAAGGCAAGTTATTGGGGTCAGGCGCAACCCCTTAAAACCTCAAACAGCCTGACTTTTTGAGGGGTTACGCCTGACCCGATTAACTTCATCATCAAAGAAGATTTCCCATCTTAGTTTTGTATGATTTCCTAGCATAAACCTCGAAGATCCTACAGTAAGTGTTTGAGCTTACCTCGTTTTGTTTTGGCTTTGTGGTGATCGATGGAGTTGAAGCACTCAAAGTAGAAAACGCGGTGACTAACATTTTGGCAGCACTTCTCAAAGGCTGTGGCGCGGTAAATCTCAACATATCTAGATTTTCGCTTACCTGGGGTTATTCACTACGCTGATCAAATATCCGCTTTAGAGAGCTTGAAAACGGCGAAAACGAGCGTTTTTCAACGCCCTTCCCTTCAAAATTGGACGAGTGGAGCAAGGCTAATGACGCTGAATCGTTGCGGGACCCAATGATTATAGCATTGCGGCGGGCAGCCTCTAACGGTGAGAAGGAAGCTGCCAACTCGTCCTGGCGCGTGTAATATTGGCTTGCGCGTGTAAATTTGAGAGCGGTCTTCTCGACAGGGAAGGCATGCTGTGCGACCGGGATTGCACTGTTTTCAGACTTGGACGATAAGGAATCTACTGCGTTAAAATGATGGGTTGTCAAGTTTTGCCGATCCACTGCCTTTAATCCATTATTTAAAAGCGATATGAAGTCCAATTTTCACCATAGACTGGCAAAGAGTAATACTTCGTCATGAATACAAAAAAGCTGACTTCTGTCGCTTTTGTAGCCACGTTTATCATATTTAAAAACCATGCTTTTTAGACGTTAGGGAACACTAAAAATGTAATAGGTAAAGATTTGTAGAGCTCGTTAAGGTAATTTGGCATGTTTATTTACAGAAATCATACTCAGTTTACACAAAAACTTCTTTGGTGACCTTACGGTATGTGTAAAATGAGATGAAGAATTGAAATTTGGCGGACACTTTGTTAGTCGAGTTAATCAGCATGCTGTCTATGACAGTCATTCCTTTGATGGAGTTGTGAGGTTCACCGTTGAGCGCTTTTCTTCTCCACCTTGCTCGATCGCAGTATTTCTTCAGTTTTTGAATAACGCTTCTTTATGACCCCCCCCCCGTTCTTACCCCCAGATCGGGTGTGCCTGACCCCACGCTCAACCCTGTCTATAACCAGGGTCAAGCGTGGGGTGCGGCACATCCGATTTGGGGGGTCGTATTAAGGAGTCAAAAGGGGAGGGGGTCGTAGTTGGGTAATCTGATAATAGTGATAACATGATATTCGTATCATATCCATAATTAGCATGCCAATTAACCCTTGTAGACAAAGTTTGAGCGAATTCTGAAGATTCAAGATACTAAGCTACTCTCGCTTCAGAAGACCTGCAAACTGTGGAATTAGGAGTCAACCAATATCTCGTTTTTCCCATTTTTCGCCTTTGATCGCTGTGCTTTCACCAAATATTACTTAGAACTAAGAAGACAAGTCAGGCTCCAAACAGTCCTATGGAATCTACAAGGTTTAGGCTATCGATTCACATAAATATTGTCCGCTAAAAATGTTTTTTGATATAGTTAATGGGGTGCGGCACACCCCCTTGAAAGCTGCGGCTGCCGCAGCTTTTAAGGGGGTGTGCCGCACCCCATTAACTTGCCTTCAAGATCAAGAAAGCGCTCCATTGCTGGTATAAGTATTGAGCACATAGCTTCTTCTTGCTACGTTGGAAATTTGGAGTTGAACGTCCCACCCATTAGAAAATTATGGCCCTTTCAATATGCCCATTCAGATCAAAATCAGCCGTCAAATTACGTGTTATTGTAAAGTGCAGTCACAGAAAATCGGGCGTACAGCTCTCAAAAATCCGAAAACTCTCTAGAAAAAGATGGTGTCTTCCAGAATGTCACACTTCGAGGTCCAAAGGTTAAGAGGAGGAAGAAGGGTTCGTCTGAGGGCTTTCATGGGAAGGGGGGGGGGAGTTTCGAAAGACTTGTGCCTGACCTTTTTCTCAACTCTGGTAATGCTACCTTATTTTTATTTAATTTAATTATGAAGTCGACATACAAATGATTCTAGAGGAGGAAGACCAATAATTTTAGCCGTCGACAAATGTCTTATACGTCTTTCGAAAACGATACCCCCTATTTGGGGGCCAGCGAGCCCGCCTGCAAAGGCTAGCTGGCCGTAACCCAGAGAGAGAAATAAAGGTTTCAGCGGTTTTCGAAAGGACAATAAGACATAAAAGAAGGGAAAAATACAATAAAAACCCTCGGAAGAGGGGAATGATCAGTAAGAAAAAAGAACGAAATGAACACAAGGAGAACACTGAAGCAACGAAAAAGGACAATTTGAGAGAGTTGCAGTAATACAAAATGGTAAAGAAATCACTGGAGGTAGATACGCTTTTTTGTGATTTGGGGGACAAAAAATAGAGAATTGAACAATCGACATAGCGAATAATTTCGCCTTCTTGGAGGCAAACCATACGTCAGTTAGAATTCATTGCGGAAAAAAGGAACGTCGAAACCTCAAAAATTTCCTGGAAAATGATTGTCAGAATAACCCCTGTGATTTCAGAAATTTTTGAACTTCTCTGTTGAAAACGAATGTAGATCTCGCGGTGATAGTTTCCAATAAGAGCGCATTCCATGTTTTGATAACACGCACTAAGAAAGAGTTATAGAATTGCTGGTTCCTCACTTTCCCTACTACAAGCCTGAACATGTGTCCTCTAGTGTAATTGTTGAAATTCGATAGACTGAAAAAATCTTGCGTTTCTAATTCAATCCTGTTGGTCATTATTTTGAAGACAAGGTTTTGGTCATAAAGGGTTCTTCTAAACGCAAGAGTGGTAGTGGCTAGAATAGAGAGCCTAGATTTGTACGACAATCGGAATATTCCGGCTCGGGCAAAAATTCTGGCAGTGAACGATCTCTGGACTTTTTCTATCATTTCCGTAAGGGTTTTCTCAGAGGGAGACCATAGTGGAGTGCAGTATCCCAAAAGAGGAC